GGCCGAATCATGCAGATGTAATGCACAACTCTGTGGCCAAATCATTTGGTATTTTTAGTAAAACTGTCTGCTATCCAGTTTCACGGTTTTCCGAGGATCTGTCCACACTGTTACAGTCTAGGCAGAAATGATATATGAAAACGACTGACAGTCTTTCCGCGGTTAACGAGGAAACTTTGACCTGGTTTACTAATATAAACGAAAGCGCTGCGAGTTCCCCATGATAGAGAGCATAGTTTTTAAGAAGACGATTGAAATAGCATAAGCATTGCATCATGAAAACTTCAAGAACTCCAGAGGTTGGTTTCTCCTTTTTCCAGATAGATGCGGTCTTTCATTCTACAAGGGGACAAAAAACTTCTCTCGTATTACTTTCCTGGTATGCGGGGAAAAATGATGCAGGGAATGAGTTTCGAATACGGTCATTGTTGTGATTCACTGTTCCACACCGATTTTGATATTTTCAGTGCTAATTAAAAATGAATTTTTCAAGCAGCTCCGAAGAAGAACAGCAAGTTTCAAGACACCAAAGCCACGGCCAAGTTTGCGGCCGTAACGTTAGTCTCGCCGATGGGAGTGAAATTCAGATAGTGTATGGCACATTCAGCCGTGCAAACGGGTGAACGATAATCGTGATTGACTTAGCTGGTGAGTGAGGGTGTGGAGTAAGATGTCGGATCCAACCGATGGATCAATAACCGTCATAACATTGATGGGCCGACATGAATGAGTGAAAATGAATCCATTTTGTCCTTGATGGAGCACTGGCGACATTAGACAGGTCACTGGCCAAATATCAAATGGGTCTCGTTGTGTTAGGGTGATGCACCTCCACTTGGTGAATCACATCATCATGTGTTGAGTCGCATTGGTCACCAAGGTCATGTGCGATAACGGCCACACTGATGTCAACCAACGCTGACCGTTATAAATGTTTGCATTCAACTCACAGCTACTTATGAGTAGTGGTATGGGATAAATAGTATTAGTGTGAAGTGACTATCCATCAGGCTGTACATTTAAATTCTGCTATAATAACGGAAACAAGTAAACGAAATAAAAACATAGTCTTTCTTGATCATAATTATTTTGTCGAAAACATCCCAATCGATTATTCATACTACTTAAAAGTGTAAACTACTGGCAAACATGCTATATCGCGGTTTCTGGAATCTACTAATTTTTTCGAATCCGAGAAGGTTGCAAGATATTCCGTGCTTGACTGTAAAACTATCAGTTGTTCTGTATTTTAGTGATCTTGATCTGTTTTTAATCTTCCACTTAGCATAACTCTAAAGTTTTTCTACGAATTTTTCCCCACGATGCAAACAATTTCCTTGCAAATAAGTCCATCTTTCAATCCAATCATACATAGTTCATCGATCGTGAAAAATTGAGTACGTTACTGTTCACCGACACATAGAACTAAGGTATAAAAACGTCAGGTGAGATACCCGTTGAGCGGAATTTCTAAGCGTCAAGCGATTTGGTGGGGAAGAAACAATCCAGTTGGTCCGTCAAATATTCCAGTTTTCTTTTAGGCGTATATATATTCACATTTTTCTCAGGGTGTCACTATCATTTCCACTCCAACACGTGAATACTACTTGAGGAGCTAGTCAAGCTTGTGGGGACATTTATGTTTACGAACCCATGGTCACTATGCATTTAAGTCGAAATTGAATTCATTTGCCTTTCGAGGTATTTAGTGGTACTTGTAAAATGCATTCTTAATACCAAGGGATCTCTTGGAAGCATTGTTCTAGCTAGTGGACCACAACAATCATTGAAAAAGTTACTCGATTACGTAAACTCGCTTGTTCAGTTCTAAACAGAAAATCCCCGGGAAAAATGTTTTTTTTATCTCTCACTGGTTCACCGCTAATCCGTGTCTGTGTGTGTGATGATGAATTCCAACCACCAGAAAGCGATAGACAATCGACAAATGTAGACGTTTCGTCAGTTTGATGTACCAATACCAAGAAACACCTACGACATTTCCATTCACTACAGAGTTAGTATTGATTACATCAGCGAAGACAAAATGCGTCTAGATTCAAGCCAACATCTTCACGAAACTTGCTTTCGTGACGGTTGCAATACATAGTTGAATACATACTCGTGTTAATTATCTATTAGTTTTCCCGAAACATTGCATGTTTCAATTACAAGGTTCAAAACAGCTCGGTGATTATTGGAAGAATATTTTACAACAATATACTCGTGTTGATTGAGAAGTGGATGGAATAGAACTGGCCACTGGAGACGGGGGCGGGGAACCATTACCGAGGAGCGATTTCTGGAAAATATTCAACGATCAAAACCTATTATAACCAATCAACCATCATAACAGGCATACAAGTGGCAATCTCCGATTTATCAACCTTGAACCAAACTAGATTTCATTCGAATTACTGTGTTCTACGATAGTTATTCTATTTAGTGTGTATAATTAAAACTGAAATTCTTTTACACCATTCAACCAGATTTTTCACCACCATATCATTTGGAAACGTATCTGCTATTGATTTCGTCATGGTTGATGAGAGTTAAGGATACAGAAGATAGAACTGATCAAAGATAGGTAGTGATTAAGTGATACGAGAGCGCAAAGGAAAAGCAAAATGCCTTGAAATGAAGCTCGCATGTGATAGGTCATGAAAGGGGTAGGGGTGGGGAGTTGAAGAGGGATTGTGCTCGCAAATCAGGCAGTAAACAGACGAAAATTCAAACTCGAGGCGATAACCGTTCGGTTACCATGTTTAAGATTATGTTTATTTTGCGAGACGTAAACAGATAGGAAATTCACCTGCCATTCACAATATGCGTCTAGTGGGCGCTGGACAAGGAGCGTTCGTCCAATATTTGCTTATTACCAAGTTTAAGCATAAACACCATAATCTCACTGATCTCCCAGTATAACCATCACAGCCTTTTATCGACCACGGTTTCAATGTGGTTGCTTACAATTTATGAGGTTGTCTTATATGAAGCGAGGTCCTAATTCGACTACGAACAACTTAAAAAACGAAAGTCTTAACTTTGTAACATTAAAGTTCACCGATTTGCTTCATTGTAACTACGTAGATATTCCTCGTTGGTGTGTATTCATCATCTTTGTCCAAGGGGTAATTTTTAAGCACTCAATGAAGCACTTCTGTTTTTTCTGGACAAAAATAGCAGGCATTGACAAAAATCAATTAATTTCCACTAGATGATTCTTTTTACAGCAGTGTATGTCTCTCTCTCTATCCATTTGACCCGACTAGCAATTCTTTTTGCAAAGTCGATTAGAAGTAGTTCCGCGTTGTTAGGCCTGTTTGTTTGATATCAGTTAACTCATCTTTTGCCCATGAAGGTTGTATTAAAAAGAGCATAACAATGTGATTTGAGCAAGGTACAATTATAATTCACTGATTCCTCACAAACCTACAACGAGTTGAGATTAATGAACACGAAAACTGTCGAAATGTTGAAACAACTGAAAACCGCCAGGCGACATGCCAAGTCTCCTAATGCGAACGAATCGCATCATTCACCCATCCAGATAATCTGATGTAAAGGTACCTCTAGACGTGTTAATTTTAATCGCACTCCTTGGCAAATGTATACTTGACGGAATATTTTTGTTTCATAGTTGAGCCATACAATCTTTGGCTAGTTGCTCAATTCGGTGAGCGGAGTCATTTTATCTCTGACACTACACGGTGTACTTTACTTCGGTAAATAAACAAAATACATTCTTGAAACGTAAATCACACTTACCCGTTGCTGGTGCTGCATTTTGTAAACAAAATAAAACCATAGATCAATAGTGAAACTTTTGATAAAAGAAACAACTGATATAACAGTCTCTTTAGTGCACTGCTAAGCATATCCATCAACCGAAAATATGCTCACTTGCTCTCTAACTAACTGGTTCCAGTTCCCATAATACATTTCTTCACTCTCATACATTCAACATTTCCACTTTGGACACTTCAGAAAGTTAAGCTCGAAAAATTCGCAACACTCTAACAAGTAGAACGAACAAGCGTTTGACCGTACCATGAATGATCATTATAAACCACTTTGAGTAGTAGCAAAACGTCAAAGGTGACTAACCTTGGGTGATAATTGTGCGAATCATATGACCACCGCGACCTCGATTATTATCATTACCACCACAACGAAAACCACCAGCACCACAACCTCCATCACCAACAACACAGACACCACCACCACGGCCACCATCACCATCAGCACCACAACCACCTTCAATATGATCAAAACCAAAACCACCAATCTGGGTAGTAGCTTCATCCTGATCATAATCATCAACATCAACATCAACAACATCATCATCATCCAGATAATCGTCATAATCATCGTCATCGTTTTCATCTTCACTCAAATCATAAATATCATCATCATTATTCTCATCACGATCATCATCATTATCCAGTTCATCCTCCTCCTCATGAACATCATCATCTAGATCAGCATTATCAGCGTCATCGTTTTCATCATCATCAACATCATCATCCACATCATGTTCATAATCATCAACATCATCTAGATCATCATCAATATCATCATCATCATCGTCATCATCATCACCATCCAGGATAACGTATTCATCTTCAACATTTATATCATCATCATCATTATGAATATCATCATCCAAATCATCATTATCATCGTCATCAACAAAATCATCAACAGCATCATCATCATCATCATCACCATCCAGATCAATGGCATCGTCATTATCATCAGCATCATCATCATCATCATTATGATCATCCCCATGAACTTTTGGATCATCGTCATCATCTTTATCATCTTTATGACCATCTTATTCATCATCATCATCATCATCATCATCGCTAACATGGTCGTCATCTTCGTCATCAGCCAGAACGTCGTGATCTTCATCATCATAATGACCAGCAACCGAATCACCATTATAATCCCCATCATCATGGTTATCATCGAGATAACCGTGATCATCATCATCATTAAACATCATCATCATCAATATTATTTCCCAAGTCGTCGTCATCATCATCATCATCAACCTTATCACGATCACGATCATGACCCTCATCCTCGTATTCTTTATTATCGTTTTCATCGTCAACATAAAAATCATCATCATCATCGTCTTCATCATCATCATCATCATTGTCGTCATCATCATAGTGATCGTTTTTATCAGCATCATCATTATCATCATCATCATGATCGTCATGATAATCCAGATAATCGTCGTCATCATCATAATCATCGTTATTATCACCATAATCGTCGTCATCATGATCATGATTATGATCATCATGGATATCATCTTCATCATCATCCAGCTCATCGTCATAATGATTATCGTTATCATCAACATGGTCGATTTAATCAATATTATCATCGTGATCATCGTAAAATTAGATATTTTGAAGTGAACGTCTGTGTTTGCTTTGGAGCTCAAAGTTTACTGAAATCGAGCTGTAATGTACCAAGAGGTAGATGGATTGGAACTAATTGGAGGGCGGAAAATGTGTTGAACCTCTATAGCCAACACACCTACCGTCTGTGGTTATCCGGATGGTGGATAGCGTAATCTATCAGAATTCTACCTTCTTCAACCGTCTTATGTAAACAACCACTTATAAAAACCTTACAAAATGGTTATAATTGTATGACCACTGTTTTACAGTACAATATTTGAGTGTTGAGTTGAGCCCATCACGGTTGGATCACATCGAACTCACTTTTCTGTGTGTCCGGAATGGATAGAGTAGCATTATTATACACAGTGTTGTTGTTCGTGGATGTTTGGACGAGTAAGTGAAACATGCATCTTTACCACCAGGTGACCAATTGTTACATGCCCACTATTATCTCAGCTAGCAATAAGATTAATGCAATCTGATTTCGTTATGTGCTGGCCGCTGGTGCCTCATTGAACGAAGAGTCGAGTAGCCCATACGACACGAAATGATGTCGATAATAAGAACCTGGTTTCTGTAGAGGAGGATATTTCGTGTTGCTTAAACTATTCATTCAGTGCTGTTCATTTACTCTTCACGTGAGCACCGGAAAACCAAGTGCGTTGTGCCCACAGTGTTGAACGAGTCAGTTGTGTCTCGCCAAAGCTATCGGTGAACCTGGTACCACAGTGCGTATCCCAACGATCCCAGTTTAAAAAAAAGTTGCAAATAGTACCTTTATTCGTAGTGCCAGTCAAACGTGCGTTGGGGAAGGAAGAAACAGGCGGCACATTCGGGGCTAATCACGGTTTAGTCGTTATCCGGAAAAGGTGCCCTTCTAAGCAGTGGTCTGTTTTGCGTTTCCCAGTCAGGATCATGGGTTGGCACCACATGAAACCTGTCGCCAGACTGCAAAGCAATGACCTAGGCCATGGATGATTGCGACTGTTGTGACTAACCTCGCAGTGTCACCAGTTTGCAAACAGTGAACGGGATTATACTGGTGAATAATTTATCCATGATTCGGCCTTCAAGACAGATAGAAAAGGAGATGGATATGCTTCAAAGGGCATAAGAAGAGGAAATAATAAGGTTCCTTTCCGACTGGCTTTCCCGTGCGGAATGGGCCACATTCGAATACCAATGATTAGTAACAATGCTTCAAACACTTACATGCCTTTGCGGGTGGAGCTGAAAAACAGTGAGAACAGGAACAAAATCAATGAAATCGGAAAATGACGTGCCGCTTTTGAAGTATTTGATATCAAAGGGATTGTACATTGAATCACCACGGTCATATATGATCCATTCATGCTGCTTGGTATGCTTGCCGCGCTTGGTCGTAACACACGAATCAGGATGATTTTATGGTCAAGTGATTCTTTAGGCTTTCCTACTCTGGGCCCCTTGAACGCCTGAGCTAAAATTTCTCTCCGGGTTGGCCCTATGGTATGCATCGACCCCATTGATTAATGTGCTTGCTCTGATCATATAATCGAAAGAATTCATGTTAAAAATTAAGACCGTTTAGATGAAAGCTATACTACCATGTTTAAGGTGCTTGTCGCTAGTCAACCGCACAAATACTACAAATGAGGCAAGAGTATTTATGTTGGTTGGCAAACTGCTCTCGGGAGTAATACTCGCAGTATGATAAATTTACCCACCATTGTGAGTAACAATGTCCGTTCTGTGTTTGGGAAGCTTCAGGATTTATCCTACTTGCTCAACGAAAGGAATTTCGAACCTCTTGTGTCTTGCGTCTTCGAGAGTCATGGCTGACTTATCCTGTGCACAATTCAGTGATTTAACTGAATGGTTTCATCTGCTTCAGACAGGCTAGACAACGATATAGGAAGAAGTTGGAAGGTGGAGTGATTACCTACATCATTTAACAACGGTGCGGCAAGTCGGAAGCACCTTTCCAGTATTTATAAAATGACATTGATTGTTTGAATGTCGTCTGTCACCACAAATTCTCCCACTTTCCTTTTATGGCCATCACTAATTTATACATTGCACCCCATTGTAGGTTATTAGAAATTGACACATTTTACTATCATTTCCTACCGGTTATTGCCCCATCTCTTATTGATAGCTTGCACCTAATAGCTAGTGAATTTAACCACGCCCCCATGCACCCATTATTCTGTCCAAACCTCAGCACCTGATTAATAAACCAACTGAAGGAACCTCTCACCTAGATTACATAACCACAAATCACGCTGAACCATTTGCTACTTAAGACTTCTCCCCATTAGACACCAGTGACCATAACCTGATCCTGGTCAGACCCAAGATTTACTCATACTCGGAACAATTTTCTTTTATCCTACCCAAACACATCATGTTGCGTCAGCCAGATCTTCCCCCAGACAATATTGCCTTGCTTAGAGAGTCTCTTAAAGTAGGTACCGATTTGTTTCAAGCAAAACCAGGTTGTGCAAAATGACATTTATCACAGAAATGTTAGACTGTTTTTGACACATTCTGTCCTGTGGTAACTTTGTTTCTTCAACATGGCAGAATATCACCACCTTTTCTTAAACATCACCATCGTGAAAAGGAACCTGCATTTAAATGTGATAGGAGGGCCGAAATGCAACGACCATCGTTTCTGATCAGGAGTGAAATAAGTTGGTTGGATTCCTGTAGTAATCGTAGTAATAGTAGTACGCACTGAACATAAAATACAGATCGCGGAAGAGGCTTAAGTACTGGACCACACTGGTACTCGCACGGAATATTTCACGTAACCGAGACAAGAGTAAAAGGCCACAGGAGTAGTAGTTCATTTATTNGGGGGGGGATAAATCAAATGTACAAAACAAGTTTGTTGATCACCCAAGCTTATGCCAATCGCGTTCTACTATTTCCGGCGTTGTCCAGCTTCTTTCTGGGCCGTACGATTTCTGATTGGCCGGTACAATCGACCTATAGTGTGTATTTCAGAAGCTGTGACACGTAGGTACATCACCGACATCACCTAGGAAGCTTGATTCATTACAGTTGTCCGAAAATTTTAATGTGTCGCTCTGTGGTGTGTGTCATCTAGTAGGCCAAGATCACCACAATTCCATTTATGCAAGTCAGGCTTTTAGGACAGGGAAATTTAAGTGTTCATGGCGTGGAATCAATCCAGTCTGCGGACAGAAGAAAGTTTTTCCAGTCCCTCTATTGATATTGAATAACTGTCTGTTGCATTTACCCATTCTTAGCCCGACACACCCCAGTTATATTGACTCCAGTTTTCCGAACATCCCATCTTTGTTTTTATCCCATCACCTCTAGTTAGATCTATAAACACCTGTTCTCTCAAGGTATCGACCGCACCTGGTCTAAACAACTTAAGTCCCACCCTCCTTAAACATGGCATTGGGCCACTGCCTCACGTTTTTGCTCACATAGCTAATCTTTCACTGGAACTCTGAACTATTCCGGATTGCTGGTGCCCAGTGAGAATTACTCCCATCCCCAAAGTAACTTCGAAGACCCCAGTAACGAAGCGTTTCAGACCAATTGCTCTCACTTCCTTTGATTTGAAATTGATGGATGATGATGATGAAATTGATAGGGCGTTTAAAGTTTGAGTTCGGAACACGATTCACAAGACCACAGTAAGTCCATGTACGTAAGAGAGTAATGTAATGTTTGTGACGAGTACAGGAGAATATATTATGTGGTTGGGTATTGAAGCATAATGTTTGCCGGAGCATCATCAAGCTGACGCTTGAAAGATACTAATGTTGGCGCACAGAGTGCCAACTTCAGTGGATGCCCTCGGAGATGAACATTGGTTGAGTGAACCAAAAGAGATGTACATGGACGGTTGGGCCATTGAAAAATCCGATACAGTAAAATCATATCACCTTTGATTGGACGATACTGAGACGAGTATAACCCTGATAGCTGTAATCTTTCGCCATAGGTGTTGGAATGTAGACCTTTGACCATCATGGTAGCCATTCTCTGCGGATTTTCGAGCGATTTCCGATCTCTCTGCAGCCGTGGGTTCCAGGCCTGAATTGAGTGCTCGGTGTACGGACGGATATATGTGGCTAACAGACGTGAAAGCAAAGGCTACTCAAAAGTCAGAAAACACGTTTAGGCAGTCCAGCCTGTTTTACCGCCATGGACCATGCCATGGAACAGTTTGTGGAGTAACTGAAATCTGTGCGAATCACTACTCCCAGATCCCTCTCGGATGCAGCGTGAGGCAGAGTTTCGTGTCCAAGAGTGTAGGAATAACAATCACTGTGACGTATCGCTAAAACTTTTTATTTGGTAACATTGAATTCCATATCATTAGAGACTGACCATCTGTGGGCTTCGTAAAGAGTGTTCTGGAGATAAAATGAATCATCTGGTTTTGGTATCGTCCTCCATATTTTGTCATCGTCTGCAAACAACAGAGTTTGTGGTCCTCAGACTTCTGGCCGATCAATTATAAAGGCCAAGAAAAGACGTAGGCCCAGCACAGATCCCTGGGGAACTTAATAAGCTTCAATTGTTTGGATGCCCAATTCTTTTCTTGAATGGCTTGGTGATTACTTTTTGCGAAGCCATCAGTATGTTAAATTGCGAAGAAGACATTCAACGGCATCACTCAATAGTTCGGGTGTACTTGAAAGTGCTGTCTTATCACCCTAGCTTTTTGTGGCTTACATCAGTGACTTACCTGTTACTCCCCTTGTTCGACATTTTAAGTATGCTGATGATGTCCCCATTTCTGTTTCCGTATCTAACCAATCAGAACTGGCTGCATTTAACACAAACTTATCCCGCCTCGTTTCATATTCCACTTCATCCGGTCTTAAAAAGAAATTTCCTTGAATGTATTTTTACTGAAAGTAAAAATACCGTTCCACATCTCCCTCCAAAAATATACAAATTCAGGGAAATTTGATGAGCAGGGTCAGCTATATGAAGTACGCAGATACCACACTTAAACGTAACCATCCCTGGTCCTTGCATACTCAAAATGTTGCTCGGAAGTTAGGAGTTCTCTCTTTTTAGATAAGAAGACTGCGTCAATTCTGTTCTGATTTGTCGATGATATACTCATTTGTTTAATAGTGTATTCTCATTATACCCCTTTGCTGCTCCCCTGTAATTTTCCCTGGTTTGCTGAAACCCGATTTCAAGTTGTTGGAGCCTTGTCTTCTAAGGTCCGTTTTCTGTTCTGATTGACAATGCGTAATGCTCAGATTGATGCGTGCTTGAAT